AATCTTTCCCGGCAGATTTCGCTATAATGCAATTAGAAGTGGAATCAATTCTGCGCATCCACTTGTTTTCTTCATGTCTAAATGAAATAGCTGAAGTGTATCATTGAACTTAAGCAAAGAGTACATAACCGTGAATTGTTTTCCTCTGGTTATAAACCGCCCTAAATAACTATATTTACGGCGGTTTATAACCAGAGGAAAACAATTCCCGGTTATACATGTATTCTTTGCGTAATTTCAATTATACACCTCAGCTATTTCAAGGCGTAGGATTATATTAGTGGACATAGGCTTTATGTTTGCATTTCAATGTCAACAAGTAATATAATCAAAATCTTTTTCAGCCATTTACAGCTGTATTACAACGGTAGTGTGTTTGTGGTTTTGAAATTTTCTCGCATGTCTTGAACTTTATTTTGATTGGCTATCAACATTCCTGAAATTTTTCAGGTGTTCACAGTTTTCTGAGCAATAACACGTGTTAAGTATACTCAGATCTCCCGGATTATTAACTTTGGTTCTCATATTTGGTTTGTTATAGAGCTAATAAGTGCAGCAATAGATATGCAGCCGTGTTGAATTAAAAGGGATTGCATCATATGACCCTTTTCAGTCTGAAACCCCTAATATGCGAATTAATAAACAGGATCTTATCTGCTTTGGCCCGCAAGGCAGTTAGAAACAAGTCTCAATTGTATCAGAGAAAAATTAAGGGTTGCCTTAACTCACCGTACGCACAACATGTTCCGCGGTATCCCAATCTACAGCTACAGCTATTGCTGTTTGGAGTACCACCGTTTTGACAGTCATCTCTGTTACACGCCATTCATTAGTTTTAATCTAAAACTGTAGTCGGCCAATCAGAGCAGAGTATGCTTCATGAAATGAGGATGAAATGATTAAAGTGAGAATTCAAAAGAACTTGCAAATGAGGACCAAGGATCCTCTGTCTAGAAGATCACATGTCAGTTTAAACTACCGGAAGTTTGTGAACACATTAAATTTGGAATCTGAAAATGGCCAGGAAGTCTCACTTTCTATGACACTTTCTTCAAGCCGAAAGACGTTTCGGAGTGACGATCTTCTGATCATCATTACTAGTTTAGTTCTTTGTCACAAAAGCAGCAGTGCCATCTATTGCTTTCAAAAGACGCGTGACTCAGTTTAGATTTCCTTTGCAGGTTGACGTCACTCCTGCATCACGTGATTACAATGGAAGTGGCAACTCGCTTCTTATCCAGCTTGTCGTTAGAAAACCCCGCTTAAGGCGTGTTCGTTATGGGCGAGTTCTTACCAATCACCCTGTCGATGAAGAGTTTGAAGAGCAGTTGTCAAAACCATTCTACTTTCGTCAACAAGACCATGGTGTCGTCACAGACGTTTTGTTTCCAAAGAGCTCTGAATCACCTGAAGTTGAAGCTTTCAAAAAGGGTATGTATGACATCGAAATCTTTAACTCTATGTGATTGTTCATCTCGAGGGAAAATATAAAAAGGGCTAAAAACCGAGACACTATGAACTTAAACCTCGGACAATTAAGGAAAAATGGAGAACCTGTTGTTGTTCGGGTGTGCCCTGGTTGCTAGAGGGATTTTTTTAATCACGTAGAATTCGAACAGCGTAGCCGCGACAACAAGGAGCAGCGTGCCGAGAAAAAAAGGCCTTTGGTCGCTTGAGTTACCAGCCTCATTTCCAAGCAATTTTGAGGATCGGTTATATCACCAACACGGTTTTAGAGCCAACAGTTAGCTGGCGAAATTTATCCAAACGTTTTTCGCAAAAATCGGGTGTAGTTTTCCCATGGGAAGAAACTTACTGTGGTGTATAATAAATTCCAGCTTCTCTAGATCTGGTTGTGGGGAATTATACTGATTCTATGACAAAACGAAGAACGACAAGAGAGCGATTGTTATTCGCGTTACTGTCCTGTTCGTTTGCATGTTCAGTCAAGACTAAGCACAGTTATCATTATAACCCTGACAACGATGTCAGATGTACAAAGAACACATTCTTTTAATGAATACATTTAAGCAAAGCTTCTTCCTGAGCAGATTTTAATTGTTGGAAGTTTGAACCTTAAAAAAAAAACGTTTGCATTAATCATGAATAATATTTCTGAAAGAACACCCTTAGCCTGCATGCTGTAGTTAGTTTTGAGGAAGAAACGATTTTCAACCAGCGAAATATTTTGGTCTATCCAGTCAAGGTCGCGGCTGTCGCTTTAACTAGAGAGACTAATAATCAACCCTGTTCCAATTCTATCTAAAGAAAGCTGCTCGTTCTTTCGACAAAGATCACTTGTTGGTGGCTTGTATAAACCGACCAGATATTTCGGAACGGATCTATGGAGCGGGGGTTGTTTCATGGGGGGAGATTATAACCCAAAATATAAATGATAGAAATATTATGGCATGTATTTCTGCTTCAGACCTGTGACGTGACTTGTTTTTCAAAGAATGTAATGCTTACCTCGAAATATTTACGACATCAATTTAGCACATTTGAGGCTATGTTCACACCATACCAGAGAGCTCCTTCGCCGGTACGAAAACCACACCGGATAGAGCTTCTGTTCAGACACAAGAACGGTGATTTCGGGGCGATTTCTGTTAAGAATCAAGCAAGCTGCGCCGTGCCGATCTCGAAAGTGGAGCGTCACATATTGGATAAGTTCTGTGCCTTATTTTTGTGCTGTGTGAACGGGTATTCAGACCGCAGTGGAAGTAAATAAGTAGTAGCGAGGACTGCAGTGGAATCCACTGATACAGAAATACGTATTCATGAGTAAGGAATGGGAGTTAGTTAAACCAAATCCTCTCGGCCCACTGCACCGACACTGTTTGTGAACGGCGTTGCTGTTAATACCATAATGGTTAGCTTTTCGTGTCGGCAAGAAAAACTGTCCGGTATAGTGTCAACATAGCCTGAGTCTTCAAAATATCAGGAAAACTTCAGTTTTTATAGGTAAAGGAGCATTACTTTTTCACCCAAAATGAAAAGATAACAATATGTTTAGTTACCTACTGTTCTTTTGCACGCCTCTTCTCCAAAAATGGCGAAAATTGACGTCTTCCATTGGTGGAAAAATAAGTTTTGGCTGCCACAAAATCTTGAATTTCCCGCCAATAGAAGGAATGATGCCACGAATGAGAGGGACAGTTTGTCCAGCATGTTCCAATATAGCGACTTCCCCCGTTTTGTTCCCCTAAAAATCAAGTAATTCCCCCTAAAATTCTCCCCACCCCCATCTCCCCAGGCGATAAATAATGACCGGTCCCTTATCTTTTCTTTTGCTCTTAAAAAACTAGTGTCCTTTCCCAAGTGAACTTTTCCTTTAATGCATGGCAAGCCCAGAGCAGAGAGAGTCCTACATTTGGCTTTAAACTTTGAAACAGATATAAAAAATATGTTGAGTTCAATCCTTTTATTCTTAACTGCACATATATGTTATCACAATTTTGATACACGAAAAAGTAAAATACTGACTTCGGAATTGACGTATATTAGAAAAGCACTCTGCTGGATGAGCAACAGCGATTTTCGAAGGAGAGTAATATTCTTTTCGAGGAGCTCTTAATCAAAACACAACTTGAGTTGTTTAGATTTATCAGCGTACTGCACTGAAATATACTGTTTACCAAATGGGCGTGATCTAAAATCTTTTAAATTACGATAAATGTCTTGTCAGGTTTAAAAGAAAATCCCACGGCTTTGCATGGAACAATTTGCAATTGTGCTCTCTTTTTTGTTTATTATGCGGTCATAGGTATTGCAGGGGCATTCCAACTCAACTTGAAAGACATTCACAAATCCAGTGTATACGAAGTCCGAGAGCATGATGATTCAGGTATTTTTCGATCCAAGTACAATGTACTTTCCGCTAATGACACACACGTTCACCTGCATCGAACCTGGACGAACAACGACTACCAGCAATTTGCGGATGGTACTTCCGCAAAAGGCCGCCACAAGGTTCAATCTCTCCATAGTGCTCATGTTCATTTGAAAGACGGAAAAGTCAATCAAGTTTACCGCACAAACGAGGCATTCTTCAGACCTCCTGATGGACATCCGAGAGTGGAAAATTTCAAAGATTTTGGGGATCAAGAGCAAGATATCGAGATGTCAACCAAAGGATATAGCAAGCTAACGTTACGTGATTGTGCCGAGCCCGAGCATCTACGTTCTAAGCGATCCACCGTCCAAGAGGAGCATCTACAAACGGTACGATCGCTCACAAGTGATAGTCTTCAATTCACACAAACGGAGAAGATCAAATGGTCCAAGATGGGCGGAGAGACGAAAAAGAAGCCGAGGCTTTTGTATGAGGTGTTACGTTGTTTTACTGACAAGAGCATGAAGGAGCGTGAGATTGCTGACTGTTCTAATGAGCTACATGGCATGGTTCGTGACGACAAAAATACTTTTCGCTCGATCGTGAAACTGGTTCAGGACCGTAGTCACCAAAACCTGACGTCTCTGGCAGTGTATGCGGCCGCCCTTGCTGGACATGGCAAATACGAGGCCCAGAATGCATTAGCACAAGCGTTGAAGGATCAATACCCGAGACCTCTCAGTAGAGAAGAATACGAAGCTTTGCTTTTAGGAATCTTCCACCTCCCAGAAGGACCACTTCACTCACAACTGTTTGATGCTTTGTCACAGCTCATGTCCGAGGAGGAAAAAGGAGATGAAGTTACTGCTACTACCATGCTGGTATTAACCGGCCTGGCTGCTAGAGCCAAGACATCAGGGTACAATGAAACTCTGTGTGACAACGTAGCCCAAATGGTTCACAACAGATACAGGAATAAATCAGGCCTTTACCATCCTGATAGCGACGATCACGAGATGCAGTTGAGGGACCACATCTGGGCCTTTGGAAACCTTGGTCATCATTCTGGTCTTTCTGTTATCTTGAAGCACATTGATCATGATAATTCTGGTATCCGCTCAGCGGTGATCAGTGCCATGCGCAAACTTCCCCCTGAGCATACTAATCATCATCTCATGCGCTCACTTCACGTTGATGAACACGCTGATGTAAAAGCTGCAGTCGTTGATGTGTTCGTTGAGCGCCACCAACGTTTAAGCGACTCAGTGGTCCAAAGCTTGGAGGAAGCATTATGGCACGCTCCTGAAGGTGAGTCCTTGGATTCTTCAATAAACGAATTTCTTGAAAACCATGGTGACCACCCTAAAGCAGTTTACTTGCGAAAGAAACGGAGTGTAATTCATCGGCGTAAGCGTGCACTTCTGCCGTTCCTTCGGCCCAGAGAATTCGCCCTTGGTCCTTCCAAGCGATGGGTGAAGACGTATGGTGGCAAATGGCTCGGAGCAGAATCCGCGATACAGTTCGTAAATCAAGTAAAATTGAGAATTGGTATCTTTGGTGGGAACTTTGAAGTGAACTTAGACAACAAGGCTTTCGTTTCAGCTTACATTCTCAAGTTCGGTTTTGACGTTTTACGTGGAAAGGCTGCTTTTAAGGCGTCAGCCAGTTTTAAGAACGACTTTCCGAAAGATCTTATTCACGCCGTGGCCGATGCTGGAGACGAATTGTTAAAGCAGTTTGATAGCATCACAAGCGTAATTGCCGAGCAAATCAATAAATTTAAAGACAAACTTGCTGGATTTCTTCCTTTACACATTAACAGGTTCGTAGAATTCGTTAATAAAATTGTTCTCTTTGTCCAGAACCTTGTTAAGCCTTTGAGACCGATAAACGTCATCGGAAAAGTTATCAAGTTTGCCAAAGATGTTTTGGGCCGCGTTAAAAATTGGAAATGGCTGATAGACAAGATCAAGAAGATACAACAAACACTTGGAAGGCTGACTGGTGTGGATGACATTTTCAATAAAGTAATTGCTACACTAGATAAAATCTTAAACGTAGTTGGTAGCATTACCAAGTATTTGCCACACAATCTTCCGAAAAACTTTAATATAAAGAAACTGCTTGATCTTCTTCGCTCAGTTTCTGTAGATCTTCAGTTTGACAAGATAAAAGAATACTTTCGATCATTACGCATCTCCGTGCCTAGTGGATTCCACTTACAACTTCCCTTCAGATTCTCAATTCGCTTGTCACATTCTCTAGAGTCGTTTGAGCAAGTCACTTTGAGGCTCCTGAAATTTGCAAATCGTTTCTTGGATATGACGGCACTGCTAGATCTTCTACAAGGAATCAGGTTGCCCCGATTGCAGTTACCAAACTTGAATTTGCGTTTTCCGTCTTTTCAAGGAAATGGATTTAACTTTGGGCTTCGTTTTAATTGGAAAATCAGTTTAAAGTTCCGGTTAGATCTCAAATCTCCTAGTTTTCAGAATTTTCTTACTGTGTTTGCCAAACTTGGAGAATTCCTGAAGCAGTTTAGGCTTCCGAACTTTAGTCTGGAGACGTTTTTTCAAGAAATACTACCTGGCAAGACCTTTGATTTGCGGGAGCTATTCCGTGGATTTTGGAGTGGTAGTCACAATCCCAATTCAACTAACCCGTCTCAAATCCTCGAAGAATTTCTTGGAAAACTTATAAATCTACTAGACGTTCACTTTGTAAATGTAACGGCCATAAGTGACATTACAGATTTCTTTCGAGAGCTAGGGCCAGCAATGGAGCAGTTTTCACGACAAAGCATACAACGGATATGTGACATCTATAAACTGGCATTAAACTCCTCTCAGGAGTTCAAGGAATTTGGCGAAAACGTGGATCAACAAGGAATCCAGGTACTTCAAGAAGTAGAAAATACAACTCAAAATGCACTTTCAGAACTGCTGAATTTTACAAACCTTATAGACAACTTAATAGTGGACGTTGAAAAAAATTTTACTGCAGTAGCGAAAGGGTTCGTTTCCGACTCTCTTAGACAGCTTAGTGATAAACTCCAACATATTCAAAATCTAGCGGATGACATTGTGGACTTTGCCAACGGGACGGCTTCGAAAGTAAACGGGGCATGTACTAAAGCCGCCAATTTCTCTGCTGAAGTCATTGATAACGTTCAAAATAACGCTCGGCAAGCACTTACTGAACTTGGATCTTTCATAGGACCAGTGGCAACGACAATTAAAGCAGTTGGAGCTGACTTGAAAGCTTCTGTTATTAAAGTTGAAGATTGGTACAAGGAAAACCTCGCAGTTCGTGTTGGCAAGATCTCTCGTGTCTCCCAAATAATATCTGATTTTCTTTCCATATTAAACACTAAGAAAGGATTTCTCAAAACAGTGCGGGAGATAGCAGCTCGCATCAATGAAGTGCTTAGTCGTCTACAGAATCTTCCTGAGTACGCGAACAAGGCAAGAAAAGCAGCTGATGATGTAATAAAGTTCTCGGAGAGAGCTAAGAACTACAAACGTGAAATTCAGAAGCTTGATATAAGAGAACAGTTCGGAATTGATTTTGACCAACGGTTAAGAGATATTTGCAGTGAATTTAAAACCATTGCGGTTGAGACTCTCGATAAATTTGGAACCTACGATGTCGTAAAAGAAGTGGACAATTTTTTTAACAAAGAAGCTGACAAGTTTATAGGGAAAGCCGTCTCAAAGTTTAGAGAAATTAAAGAACCTATCAACGAGATACGAGAAGACCTTCTGAATATCAAGACCACCGTGCGTGAAGTGATAGGGGTTTTAATCGATCTAAAGCCTTTTACCAGGAATTTATCTCCCATACTCGAGACGGCAAGAAAGCTGCCGGATTGTCAGCAAATGAAGAAGATATTTCTTGATAGTACAAAGCCATGCGTGCGTAAGGCACTAAAAATTGGAAAGAACGTTATAGAACAATATGAAGATTTCAGGAAAGACGTCAAAGTTTTTTATAGTATGGTACAAGATACGTGGAAGAATTTCAAGATACAAAAATGTATCAAAGGTGGAAGTTGTATTTCCAAAGCATTTATTGACCAAGCAAAAACCATCAAAGGAAAGGCCGATGTCCTTAAGGATACCTTACTGGAATCTGTTGGTTATACAGACATGCTCGAGACATGCAAGCATGGAGCTCATAATGTCACAGCTGTGTTTGATATTGTGAAGCAACTCATTGAACAGGTTCGTAATTTTTCTCTCAAAGACGACGTTCAAAGGGTCAGGGAAGTCTTCCAGAAGATCACTGGTCAAAAAGTGGAAGAAAAGAGTGCAGCTGGTGTTCAAAAAAGGGCAATAAATAATGTCAAACAGCGAATCGAGAGAATTGTTGATTACATACAGAAAGCAAAGGAAGTAAAAGAGAAAATGCAGCATTTATTGGAGAACACATTTAAAGCCATGAAAAATGTCTACGATGCTGCGGTTTTGGAACATGTTCAAGGGCTTGAAGATGTACGTTCTAAGGTAAAGCTGTCATATGATTTATGGAAAAAGACCAAAAACATAAACCATGTTCTACAGGCATTAGACACCCTTACTCAAAGTGCTTCACAATACGCTGACAAACTAAACGACGTCACAAAATCATTTTCTAACCCAATTGTTAACCTTCTGTCTGAAACTGGAGAGATCACTGAGGTTGTGAAGCCGTTTCTTGACAAGCAGATAACTAAAGTTACCGAAACTGTAAACAAAGTCAACAGCTTTTTGGACACAGTCACTGACTTTCTCAACAAGCTTCAAGTTCGCCAGCGAGGACTAGATCTAAGTGCTTACAAACCCTGGCAAGAGATAGCTTACTGCTCAGCGGAAGTCTGTTTACGATCTATCAGGCGATCGTCATCGCTTTATCTCAAGACCATTTTCACTTGGAAGTTCCCACACCTTGATGATCTTTCCTCTATGCAGGAAAGCGGGCGTTGGCTGACACCCGGTCTTTTTGATGACTACAAGGTTGAAGGAATTTCAGAGCTCTCAAGTGGTGAGGTAATTCTTGGTATGCATGGGGTCTCAAGCAACAAGGGTAAAGCTTCCCTGTTGGTAGTCATGAACCCCGGAAGTGGCGTTAAAAAGATAATTCAGCTTGGAAGTCCACAAGGACCATTTGTGGTGAAAATTGGAGGTGTCGCGGTAGCTAAAGAATTCATTTGGTTTAGCGACAGCGCCTCTAACAGAATCCACTCAGTCAGAAAGTCTGGCGTAACGGGGTCCTTTTCGACACAAAAACCCTCTTGGCTGGGAATATCAAAGTCTGTTTCAGTTGAAGGTACAGCAACGTCCATTTCGTATGATAAGAATAGCGGTTTTCTGTGGGTAACAGATGGCAAGAGCGGAAAGGCCTACGGTTATAAGACGGTGAATGGGGATCTAGCATCTACCGGATTAGCTCCGGATAGAGTAATCACCATCGGGAGTAATGCTCAAGGTATGACTATAGTAAGACAATTCGGCGGGGAATATGCTTGTATCTCCAAGTGCGCAATGATTGCCGGTTTTCAATGCAAACTTGAATTTCATTCCTTGAATGAAGGTGACGAGACAGGCGAAAACACGTTAGAAAGAGTAGTCCGGACGCCTTCTGGTTTGGAGTCTGTGTCAAGCGTCGGTGAAAAGTTCGAAGTGGTGGCTGTAGCTTTTTCCAGCGGTACATTTGCAGAAAAAGAAAATATAGAACTTATGGGCGGGGATTTTGAAGACCGATACTTTTATCTGCGACTGCCCATCCTGAAAACGACTTTTGGAATTCAAGAAAATTGCTTGTTTTTTAAAGTCATGAGGAATTACGTTCTCCGACCAAGACGGCTGTTTCCTATTGGAGATATGATTTGTGGAACAAGAAGAAAACGAAGCATCACACAAGAGCTGTTAGAATCGGACGTATATTCCGAACAGCTTGAAGAAGTGCATAGAAATAGCCGGATGCGAAGGCAGGCATCAGACCTAGGGTCGTGCGTCACCTTATTTAGAGGGAACGTCCTCCGGGGATATCAACAATTTATGCCAGAGTATTCACAAATTATTATAGTGTTTGGCATACCAGTGAGGCTCTTTGCAGGCGCCGGCGGCTACTACGTTGTGGACTATCAAGGACAAGTGTGTATGCGCGACAAAACGTTTAGAATGGGCCTCATTCCAGGAGCCTGGGTTTCCGTCTATGCAGGTGCTGCACTCTCCCTTTGGATTGTAGAAGCTGGTATCACAATAGAAGCAAGGCTTCTTGAGACCTACCTTGTACCTGACCTACGAATAAAGATAGCCAAGTGGCCTTTAAGGGCTTGTATCGAGCTCAAGCTTCGGATGACCCCACTGCGTATTCGAGTTTGGCTGTGGTATCGATTCCGTCTCTGCATTCGCATCAGGTGTAAGTTGTTTGGATGTAGCATAAAAATTGCATGGTGCTCAAAAAAGACACTCGCAGAGTGGTGGTGGTCAGCCAAATCTGTTGACAGGACCCTATTCAATACTTGTCAAAAAGATGTGGACAGGACGCCTCCTAAGGCGGGATCTTGCACAGCTAGACAAGCTGCCGACACAAAGTATTTTATCCAGTGGCATGGATTCCATGAAGATACCAAAATCAACAGCTATCATGTTAGAATCGGATCTATTCAGGGGTCTGGGGATGACTACTCTTCCTGGGTTGGGTCTTCTTTGAGTCTTGTGGTCAACGACCTTCCAATTATGCATGGTAGAGATATCTATGTGAGTGTCCTGGCAACAAATGATGGAGGAATGGACAGTCCTTTGGTAAATTGCCCGAAGTTTGTTGCTCAGCGTAAAGGACCGCAAATTCGTTACGTCTACGACGGCGTTACTGCAGGACAAGATGCCAACTATCAATGGGATACTTTTGCACTAGGAATGAACTTTGACTTCAGAAGTGATCCAAAGGACATTGCTTCCATAAAGTGGGGTGTCTCCTCAAATTCCAGCTGTACCTTTGACGAGGCTGAGGCAGACATTGTCCCAATGACCCCTCTAGGTGATCTCACTTCGATTCAGACTTCCGGTCTCAATTTAAGACATGGTCAAAAGTACTTTACTCGCCTTTATGCCATGGATTTGTTTGGATTAAAAGCAGTGATGTGTAGTAATGGTATCTTGGTTGACACAACGCCTCCTGTTTACGGACATTTTCAGGACGGTAGTGGCCAAAGTGATGCGAATTATCTTCCATCGATCAGGCGAGTTCGTGGAAAATTTGATCGTTTTATTGATCCAGAGAGTCCTATCGTAAAGTACGAATGGAAAGTTGTAAAGAATGATTCCGGTGGAGATGTAACGCCATTTGTCACTATTCCTCTAACTCAACAGTCGCCACTTATGGAAAATCTCTCCCTTAGAAATGGCGGATCGTATAAGCTTGTACTTCGTGGAACAAACGCTGCAGGACTTCAAGCCATAACTGCGACAAACGGATTCGTAAGCGATAGTTCACCGCCAATTTGTGAAGGTAAAGTCATTGACGTCACTAGTAAGACTGGCCTGTCTGACGTGGACTTTATAAGAGATTTGAACAGTATTCAAGCTAAATGGGCATGTTCAGATCGGGAAAGTGACATTCGAGAGCAACTTGTCGCTGTTGGAACGTATCCTGGTGGAGACGATGTCAGAGGCTTTGAAAAGCTTTCCTTTGTTACGCACAATATTTCCAAGGAAGGAATGATCTTTGTCAGCTTCTCAGACATCCAAATCCACCCGAGAATTAGATACCACGTAACGGTCAAGGTCATAAATGGCGCCACTCTAAAGAAAACTATTACTTCCGATGGAATTCTCATTGACACTACCCCACCGACTGTAGCTGTTCAATACATAAAGGACGGAGTAGAGGGAAAAGACGACAACTTCACTAGTGAAAGATTCACTTTTAGTGCTCATTGGGAGCAAGCCTTCGCTGATGCGGAGAGCGGGCTGGTGGAATATCGTATTGGTCTCGGTATCAAGCCCGGCCTTTCTGACATTCACAGTTTTAAGACTGTAGGAACACAAACGAACGCGACTATTTCAGGACTTCTGTTGAATAATGGGCAACGTTATTTTGTCACTGTGATAGCTTGCAATAGTGTTGGAATGTGCACAAATGGAAGCAGTGACGGCGCCACTGTAGACTTTGTACCTCCGCACATAGGAAAAGTTATAACTGGACTGACAGGCCCTCCAGTATTTTATCAATGGATGTCTAGTTCTGTGTGGGCGCGTTGGAACTGGTGTTTGTCTGATGAGAGGAGGGTGTCTGGACTTCTAAACCGCAGTCATTGTAGCAATGATAGTTTCTATGATGTTCACAGTGGGGTAGTCAGCTTTGGTATTTCAGTGGCATCTCTGGCAACCGATCAGCTTCTCGCCTCATACAAGTCGGCAGGTCGAGTTCGTTCAACTGGTCGTAGCATTTATCTCGCCGATGGGGTGTACTCGGTTGCTGTTGAAGCAAAGGACAGAGCTGGAGGTGTTTCTAGGAGTTTGTCAAATACATTTATTGTTGACACTAGCCCTCCTGCCATTATTTATGTACAACATGGCTATTACGGTGAACTGCAGGAACATGTTAATACACCATCTATAACTTTTAAAGCATATTTTGAAATTGAAGATGATCTCTCAAAGATTGCATCGTACAAAGTTGGAGTTGGCAGTTACGTTGGTGCCGATGATGTCATGAAACTGCAGACTGTTGCATTAGCCAGGCCCCTAGCTTCGTTACGAATCAACTGGACAGCATCCAATACCACACATCTGGGAAATAGCCGACGTTATTTTATTACCGTATGGGTTGTCAACAAAGCAGGCCTTTTCGCCATCAAATCCTCTGCACCCCTGCTTTCCGACTCTGATTCCCCTAAGGGGGGAATACTTTTAGATGGATGGGGCACTACTGACGCGCAGTACCAAAGCTATTCTACACTCTATCGGGCACAGTGGTATGGCTTTAGAGATTTCTCCGGGATCAAAGCAGCATACCTTGGTTTATCCAGCGAGCCTAATTCGGCCCACTGTGATGTCAAGGAAGAAGAAATTGTTTCCAGCAGTAGGGGATATCACATCTTGTTTGGATTAAACCTAACCTCTGGCCATACATACTTTGCATGTCTAAAATTGGTCGACAGAGCTGGAAATGTTGCATTTTTCCAGTCGAACGGAGTGCTGGTGGATTCTACCCCTCCCTTTCCTGGTTCCGTAACGGATGGAATGCCAGGCGAAGACCTCGACGTCCAAATGGAGATCTCAATACTCAGGGCTTCGTGGTTCAACTTCAAAGAAGAAGAGACGGGCATTGTCTCTTATCAGCTAGCATTTGGAACATCTCCTGGTAGTCAGGATATTCAAGAATTCACCAATGTCGGTCTCGTAAATACTGCTTCAAGTTCAAGGTTAAAAGTTTTGGAACTAACCAGTAGTCAGCGTTACTATGCCACCATCATTGCTTACAACGTAGTTGGCATGCCTAGTGCCCTGGTGTCTTCCGATGGCGTGATGGTGGATTCAACGCCTCCAGTTTTTATAAGACCAGTTTACGATGGAAGTAACCCCAGTCAGGACCTCAGCTCTACGTCAAAAGAATTTCTGTCAACAACTTGGAATTGCGATGATCCAGAGACAGCTTTAGCTTCTGTTGAGGTCGCCTTTGGTCTGCAACCTGGAGAGACTGACATTATGAACTTCACCATTCTCCCAACAAATCAGACTTCGTTTACCATGCGACATAGCCTTCGGCTTGGTTTTCGATATTTTTCAACGGTCCGATGCATCAACAAGCTTGGCCTTAAAGCGGTGTTATCTTCAGATGGTGTTGTCTTTGATGATTCACCACCAAAAAAGGTTTACGTTCAGGATGGCGAATATCAAAGTTCCTTGACTAACTTGACAGTCAAGTTCAAATTCGTAGATGCGGAAAGTGCCGTTCGGCAATATAGGATTACGGTGTGGAAAAGAGGCGCTTTAGAAGATTCTTTCGGGTCGTTTATTTTCAACGGTAATGTCACAACCGCGCAATTACAGCTCGCAAAAGATCTTGAAGGCGGAGAAAATTACTATGTGAACGTTACAGCGACAAACGGAGTTGATTTGGAGAACACGGCATTGTCTGATGGTTTTACAGTGGATACGACACCTCCTTTATGTTCACAAGTTTGGGATGGAAGAGGTGATTATTCACATGATGTCGAATTCACACCAAGTTCCAGTAAACGAGTTATTTCGTGGGTTTGTTTTGACAACGAGTCCCCAATGGTCAGATATCGTTTTTCAGTCAAAAACGTAAACACAAACACCTTTGTTATTCCCTTCTACGAGTTAGAAACACCTCTGAACTCTTCAGGATGGGCAATCATTACAGGCGAAGGGCGAATTGCGCTAAAATATGGGGAAGGAGAGAAATACATTGTGGGTATCGAGGTTTCAAACGCTGTTGGCCTTAAAGCGGTGAACTGGACAAATGGTGTTGTAATAGATAGCACACCACCTGTCGTAAACAATGTAATGCTGGCATTTGATCCCAAAAACAACTCTTTAAAAGCTGAATGGGTAGCTCGAGATAAAGAAAGCGGAATAAAATCATTGTCTTGGGGATTGGGAACTTCGCCGGACGATGATAATGTCAAGAAGTTTACAGAGGTTTCAGTTTTTACAACCAATATCAGAATCTCCAGTGTTTCTCTGATACTCGGAAAGACCTACTTCTTGAAAATGTATGCTGTTAATGAAGCCGGCTTGTCGAGCACAACCTCTTCCAATAGCGTTGTTATTGATTATACACCACCTAACCCTGGCACTGTAGTTGCTCAATTTGTTTTTCCACCAAATTACGACCGTAGTAAAAACGAAGTACCAGGATCACGTTTTGTCGTGACTTGGACAGGGTTTATAGACCAAGAGAGTGGTATTCAAAAAACAAGCTGGGCACTGGGAACAGACCCTCAGCAACTTAAACAAAGCATTATTGGATTGTATACTGAGGTTGATGCCGATGATTCCGTTGGGGGTGTTGTTATCAACAACCAAACTGTCATTGGAAACCAGACTTACTTTGTTTGTATAAGGGTAACTAACGGCGCTGGACTCGAAAGAACGGATTGCTCGCCCGGAATAAAAGTTATACTCGGAAAATTTTCTGCTGGTGAGGTTAGTGACGGCCCAGTTACGTCCGCAAAGGACATTGACTTCCAACTCGATGACAAAGCAATCTGGGCGCATTGGAATGGTTTTAAAGATCCTGTGTTTGGCATCTCCAAATATGATTGGTGTATCAGGGACCAACCACCTAATCCATCTGGATATAGCATGTGTAAATGGCCATTCATGGAAGTGCTTCATTTAAAAACATCAGCCAATCGCTTTTATAATCTAACACTTGAGCACGGAAGGAAATATTACATTACAGTTAGAGCTGAGAATAGCCGAGGTGAACATGTTAGCTCATCCTCCGATGGTGTTGTGGTAGATAGAAGTCCTCCAGTTGGAAAATCAATCCATGTCGCACCAGCCACTGGCAAGGAAACGTTGTATGTAACATCTTCTTCTGCGCCTGTTGTCACATGGACTATGGATGATCCTGAAAGTGGTTTGAGCCACTTTCTTGTACGCGTTGGAAACTTTGCATTCCAAGACGATCTAATCAGTTTTTATCGTGTCAACAGCCTTAGTCGATCAGTAGATCTAGACGCGCTAAATTTGACGCTACGTGAAGGAATGACATTTTACGTGACTGTTACTGGTACTAATATGCTTGGTTTGGAAACAACTATGACTTCCCAACAAATTGTGGTGGACTGGACTCCACCGATATCTGGAGATGTTGTTGATGGAAACCTAACCTCTGTGGACAGTGAAGAATATATTGACCTTGATTACCAGCACGAAAAAGGAGTGCTTTCAGCTCACTGGAGTGGATTCCTAGATGATGAGAGTGGCGTCGTCGAGTATCAGTGGTGTATAGGAACAGCTCAAGGTAAGCTTATTTTAAAGGAGCTGTGTCACGAAATTCAGCCAAATTAGGAAATTACAAAATGCCTGTTAAATTAAGAGAAACATAAAAATAACCGCTTAAAACTTTAAAGGAAGGTTAAAATGACATAACAGAAACAACAGATGCCACGGATGGGCAAAACTGAAGAACACTGAAACGGATTGAAATAAGGGTTTTTGAAAACTGTTCAGCCTAACAGCTTTTCAAAGTTGATCCCTGCTGCTTGCAACTTCAAAAATAATGCTCAGGAGACATATTTGGTTGTCTCGGATCTCTGATTTTGTCATGTACCTGTAATTTCTTTGCTTACTTTATGTTCCATAGCCATTGAGGGCGAGTAATTGGCAAAATTTAACAAAATGAACTGGACTTCCGTGACACAGCCCCTTTAACTCCGTCTGTTGCAAATGAAGACCCCTAAATCGAATTGTCCAGATGTTTCAGTTGTCATGTTAACATTTCAATAATGACCAGCATAATTCCTTAGTTATCAGAATTTAATGTTTGGAGTAAGGCAAAGCAATAGTGTTTCATTTCAATTTTACTTACGGGACACTTTTTTAGTATCACAGTTTAAATAATATACCTACCACTACAACATTATTTTTCGCGTTTTTGTTACCTTTAGTGAGATTTTGTTCGATGGATTAACAGCTGCTTTACCTTTCCAAGTGGTTTAGCCTCTTCTACTCCACCGTATTAGACAGTACCTAATTTAGAGACTGGGCCCTCCTTTGGGTGTTCAAGACTTTTCCCCTCGGAGAATCGAGAATTTCGCTTGCAGATCCTATTATTTATTAAATATACACAGAAACGTTCCTTGTTGTAGGTGCTTGTGACGTAAAAGGGATGACCTTTGCTGGTCTCCAGACAAGTGCACATCACTTTATGGCTCTTGACCAGGGCCAGCGGTATTTTTTCACCGTTGAAGCATCCAATGCTGCTGGTTTAAAAGAAAGAGCTTACTCTGATGGCGTAACATTAGATGTCACTCCAGCGGTACTTGGGGATGTTTTGTATGACTTACAAACAAGCGGCGTAAATTCTGCGCCTGAGCAGCCATCGCAGTCGATAAGCAGTCGTTTCCGACGATCTGTTTGGGACACACCAGGCGATGCAGATCAGACAGACGATTTCTCCCCGAGATCAAGTCTTGCTTTCGCGTCTCCTCATTCGTGCAATCTTTCGTGCAGCTTGAAGCAAAAAAACAATCGCCAACTAAAATTTTCTTGGAGAAAACCTACAGATTTCGAAAGTGGAATTTCTATTGTGGAATGGTGTGCAGGCAGCACAACTGGATCTTGCGATATTGTTTCTTGGAGGACCGTGGAACCAAGCACACTGTCAGTAGAACACTCTTTATCAAGGCCTCTTTCATCTGGGATTGAAGTGTTAATAACATTAAGAGTAACAAATGGTGTTGGGATGGTGTCCACAAGGACTTCAAGGCCACTACTTATAGACGGGTCCGCTCCCTCCGTTGGCATCGTTATGGTTGGCAATAGGCCGGAGCCTAAGTACTTAAAGAATGAGGAATCGCTTCTCGCAGAGTGGAGTGGGTTTATCGATCAGGAGAGCGGTTTAAACCACTTTGAGTGGGCTGCTTGTCACGCTAGTTCTAAAGACGAATGTATCACGCCTTTCGTAAACATAGCCCTCAAGACATCATTGAAGAATTCTGCTCTTGATCTCAAGCCTGGGTTGTCCTACGTTATAATAGTCCGAGCACACAACAATGTTGGGTTGTTCAGTGAAGCTGTGTCGAATCCCTTTATACTGGATGGTACAGCGCCAATTGCCGGCACCGTTTTTGATGGTTTAACGGAATTAAGCGACCTTGAAATACAGAGCTCTACCAGTGAAATCTCGGCCAACTGGTCTCCATTCACCGACTCCAATGGACGGATCACAATGTATGAAATATGCGTAGGAACAAAACAAGAGAAATGCGATGTGCGTGGCTTTTTAAGTTTGGGTCTCACTCTTAAAGCCACCATCTCTGGGTTAAGCCTAAATCATACCGGAAAATACTTCGTCACTGTGAAGGCCACAGATGAAGCCGGTTACAGCGCCACTGCATCCTCTAATGGCATCCAAGTTGATAGCACCCCTCCAATGGAAGGAACTGTCAGGGACGGCCAGACTCTCGCAGACATCGATTATCAAGGAGACGATACGTTCCTTTTTGCTAACTGGGATAAGTTCCAGGATCAGGAATCAGACATCTCCAGATACACATGGTGTGCTGGGACAAGAAGAAAGACCTGTGACATTATTCCTGAGACTGATGTTGGTGATCACACAAGTGTAGGTCAGCAGATTCGTCCACCATTAGCAACTGGAATCGTCGTGTTTGTGACCGTCAGCGCCTACAATGGTGCAGGCGCGGTTACCAGAATTTCATCTGACGGGGTGAAAATAGATGGAACCGCTCCGGTTATCTCCGAGGTAGGCTGAAACATTTGTCTTTCTTTTTGTTGACTTTGGTTTATTTCACTCATATAAGACCTTCAGAGATCTTCGGTGATCTTCAGCGAAATTTACTTTTTTCTATCATTAATTTATGGCTCGATACCTTGGGTCTCTAGTTATAGACTGATGTATTGAGTGATTAAGACAAAGTCATGAGAAGATGGCCAGAATATGATCGTCTGGCTTAGTTTTGTTCTAAATAGCCTTGTTATTGACAGTGACTAATGTTTAGACAAACTGTGCGATAGTCCCCTTCAGAGTCAAAGTGAGTTGTATCTTGTCAGATAAAGGTAATTAACTCTGGTTATTGGCCTGATTGGTCAATTAAGTCGAGAAGTTATTAGTCCTGATCTTCTGTCAGTTAATCCGTGATTTCATTGACTATGACCACTCTAAATGTGAGTGGTGCGTTTCGATACGCCTTTTCTGTTTTTGGTTTTTAAATTGCGGTTTGTCTAGACATTCCATCATTGTACGTTTTGCTTGAGTCTGTCAATAAGTCGCTTGTAAGGATCCGGCAACTGCTGACTAAAATTCAGCGGATAAAGCTTTCCCCACACTTCTTCCAATTGTGTAGCAATTTGTAGGCCGGTTGAATGGCAAAAGGCCGATATACATCGTCGTATTTTCAGCTTAAGTTTATCTTTACTGATATTTTTTTAGGTCATGGAAATGCAGCTGGGATCTGGCAATAACGATAAAGATTATATTACTGCAAAAGATGCCTACTGTGCTAAGTGGAGCTTAAGTGACTTGGAAAGCGACATTGCGACCAACGAACTGTCTGTCTGTTCCGTTATTGATAAAAATGACTGCTTACTCCATAACCTTGATGTAGGCACTCGTTCAATGATCTGCATTTCTGACCTGGAGTTTAAAGAAGGGGTAAAGTACATAACAAAAATTCGCTCAACGAACTTCGTCCAAAGTTCCAGTGAGATGTTTTCGAATGGTTTTGTCGTTGACTCAACACCTCCAATTTTGGGGGAGGTCACCCACGTTGAAAATTTACCTTTTAGGGTTGAGGCCCAAGTATTTACGCACTCAAAGATCTCTGTAGAATGGACCGGTTTCTTGGACAAGGAAAGCGGGGTCAAATCGTATTATCTTTGCGTAGGTATGGGGGGCGGTGACTGTAACGTCATGAACTTTACTGAAATCGGCAACTCAACAAGTTATACTTTGGAGCATTTATCACTTTCTCAGGGTGCAACATACTTCGTTTCCATAAAAGCAGAGAACATGGCTGGACTTATTAGCGAGGTGAAGTCTTCCAGTGGCGTTATTGTTGACAAGACAGGCAAGTAATTTTGTAACTTACTCAGCAATAATTTACGTAAATTTGCGACGTGACGACATAAGAAAGGAAGGATCTTAATGAAAGCCTCGATACAGATAAGAGCAGGCTTATTGCTAATGACATTTAAAAAGATTAAATGTTTTCCGTATTTCCCTCTCAAATCTCTTTTTTCGAAACTTGCAAAACACAGTGTATATGGAAAATCTTGAAAGCAAATGAAGAATTCCGGGGTGCGCTTATTTTCATTTCAGTGCAAAGGCGCAAAATACTTATGTTTTACCCTCTAGTTAATCTTATTTATGTCAATCACTTTTACCTTAGGTCCTGTTAATGAAGGAGTCATTAAGGATGGTTCTCATGGAGCCCATGACCTTGACGTTCAGAGAAGCAGAAGTTACATAGCAGCCCACTGGAATGCTTTTGAGGACCTCGAAAGTGACGTCACGGAAATTAAATGGTGTGCTGGCTCTTTGCCACGTTCATGCAATTTCGTTAAAGAAACAGAACTGAGTGCAGCTACCGCCTCCGTCCGAAAGGTTCCCATTGATTCCATGAAAAATGGTCAAAGGTATTACGTTACTGTAAGTGCGACAAACGGAGCAGGCGTGACAACTTCACTCACATCAAATGGTGTGACAGTCGACGATACGCCACCATCACCTGGCACGGTGATTGATGGAGTTGAGTCAGATGTGGACTACATTAATGGAGAGCATGATATCCGAGCACGCTGGTCTGGCTTCGAGGACTCTGAGTCAGGCGTCCAATATTATGAAGTCGCTTTATGTGATGTTAGAAATTTGTCCTTCTGCCCCCAGCCGTTCACTGGAGTTGGTTTAGCTTCTAATTTGACGATCACAGGTAAACGTTACGTCCTAAAAATAGCCTACGTATCATATTAATTTTGTTATTGCAGTATTATACACAGAATGATTATTAAGAATTCTCTTCTTGGAAAGAAACACTTGGGTTAATGTTTTATGTCACCCAGTGTAGCAGGTCAGTACTAATGCAGTTGTGCTTAAAAACCTGAAACATGACCAATCAAATGCGTAATTCAGCTAGAAGCAAACTAAATTAAATAAGTAAGTGAATAGTTAAAATGTCTATTTCGCCCGTTAAAAGACATAGCAATCGTTACAGAGAGTGAAGTATACAAATCATGAAGATCGCACAAATTATTTACAATTATCATATACAAGCTGTTTAAAACATTGAAAATCTGTATTGTTAAATTGCTAAATTGTATTTAAACCTTATTCTATTAAAGTAACTATTCTTAAAACGTTCTGTATTACACCGTGGTAATTGACTTGCTTGTGATCTTAACCTCTTGTATGGCTCTTTGACTTTCGGCAAAAAGGAATATAATGGATGGTCAACATTGCTCTTAATTTTGGAGAACAACCTGCGGTCAGTTTTCTAAAAGTTCAAGAATATTAGTTAACTCAGAAGTGTAACGTCGCTTATTGGCCCCTTGTGTCGCCTATTGGCTTGATATGATCATTCGAACACATTTAATAGAACGACACGATGATCATGCGACATTTTCTCTCAGTCGAACGTGAAAAACGTCTTGTTAAGTCTAGATTCCTTTTATCTTACAATATTTTAACATCCCGGTGCATTCGGTACAAGTGCTTATTGAGGATTACTGTCTCTGTCACCTTTATAGGATTAGACCTTGAGAGTGGTGCTCAGTACACTGTCATTATTAGAGCAGTTAACTTTGCTGGGCTTCATATAGAAGCTGCTTCAGACGGATTTATTGTCGATTTTACACCTCCCACGGCTAGTGAAGCACGGTTGGGGACTGGTACTGAACCTGTTACGTACCAATCCGATTTAGGAAAACTTGTAATCAGGTGAGTGCTTTTAATATTATTAATCATTGTTACCTTTTTCTAATTTTTTGCAGGTAACAAAGAGGCAAAATTGTAAAATGTGTCAAGCCATGATAACATTGCGCCACATTTTCTTTTGATTATGTTATTTCTCCAATAATCGATTTTTTTCGTAGTTGTTCTTGAATCGAAAATTGGTTGTTGAATTACGAAACTGCTTACATCATTCCCTTTTTGTTGTCATTACGATCGATGTTTGTTGTGGTGATTACCCTTATGCTTAACCACATTTTGAAATAAAGAACATGGATGGATAAAGCATTCCATGCCGCGGCTGCATGCTTACTCGTCGTACCACGAATGCAGTTGTACTAAACCAATAAAATATTTTCTTCAGGTGGGCACCATTTGCTGATCCAGAGAGTGGCATCTTACAGTACCATGTCTGTGTCACTACTACCCCCGATAACTGCACTGTAACCCCTTTTACTTTTGCTGGGACAAACACAAGCTTCACTGTGCGTGGATTACACCTTATCAATGGAGAGTCGTATTACGCAGTCGTGAAGGGATTTAATCGTATTGGATTGTCTTCACAAACAACAACAAATGCAATATTGATGGATTCCACACCTCCTATTATCAAAGATGCCATCAACCTCTCCGTCACCTCGACACAACTCCCTCGTACCAATGGATCTAATTCAAACAGTTCAGTTCCTCTTGTGGTCGAGAAACCAGACCATGAGGTATACGCGACCTCTCATATTCGTTTTACGTGCTCCGACGAACTCTTAACTTCTGACTGGGATGCGTTTGAAGATCTAGAGAGTGGACTCGAGCGGTATGACTGGTGCGTTGGAACTGCAAAAGCACAATGTGATGTTTTGGAAATACGAACTGTTGGTTTGAAAGTAAAAGGTGCGGCGATAGTCAGCAGACTTGCCTCGGGAACATTGATCTATGCCACAGTTTACGCAGTCAATAACGTTAAACTTAAGACCCAGTTGGTTTCTGAAGGGTGCAGGGTAGTTTCAGTTGCACCTAAGATAATGGAGGTACTTGATGTTCCCAGCTTGAATGCAAGTAGATTTTCGGATATCGACTGGAAAGCCATGATGCAGAGTTTATCGCTTAGCTGGAAGATCGCTGGAAAATACGTAAAGGAGATTTCGCGCTTGCGAATTCAAGTGGCAGTCACTCACTCCTCCTCAAATGTGTCTCTTCCTCAAGTTGGCTCGCAGAAGTCGTGGAATAGCGAGCCACTAGTCCACGATTTCATGGATGTACTATCATGGCAACGGAACGTTACAATTCGAAGCGTCGCTATGGAACCGTGGAAACGTTACCGAGGAGTCTTAAGGGTCTGGAACGAAGGAGGTGTTTGCGCTGAAGCTTCCAGTGACGGACTAAGAATCGAACCCAGTGCACCTCCCCTACGAAGTTTGTACATCCGAGATATAGCCGCTGAAAAGGAGCACTTACGCTGGCAGCCAAACCTGACATTACCAAGCGTAAATAAAAGTGCAGTAGACCAGGACGTGAAGTATATATCTTCACCGAGCGACCTTCAGGTAGTCATTAGAAGTATTACAAACAACACGGCTAACAGAACAGCCTTTCTCTTGGAACATAACCTCTTTAGCCCCACAAAAGACTTCAAGATAATCGTACAAAGAGTGGCGTCGGATAAAAATGAGAGCAACACCACTGAAGATAAAAGCATAATGCGAGTTATTCCTGGATTTGCTGATCCTGAAGGGCCGTGTTGCGCCGAAAGCCCGGTAGATCCAAAGACTGCTTTCACTGACTTACACTTTAAAGCCACTTTACCGTCACAGCATTTTGGTGCTTCCCTTGCGCAATTACAGGGTGATTATTTTGCTGTTGGATCGGGAGATAGAGCATTTGCTCTTCCCCTCAGAAACAGATCAGCGAGCCACATGACCCTTCCCGAAGACATTACTGGTACAACTGTGAACCCAGTGAAGGTAGTGTCCCACAAAAATCGCTCATTATTCTTGTCTGACGGTAAGGTGCATGTTTACCGGAGCAGCCTCGATGATTTTGGAAATCTCCAGTTAGTCAAGACTGCTGTTCTAGGAAACTGCAAGGTTCTTTCTCCTTCACCTTGTTCTCCCACTGACTACTGGGCAGATAGCATCGGCCCGGTCATTTCCATAAATGATAACCACATCGCCATGACTGGAATAAATTCTTCCACAAACGCCAGTGTTGTATCTGTATTCCAAGAGAATGGAGGTGGTTGGAAGTTTGTAAGAACTCTAGGAGAAGAGATGAGAGATCCTGATTTTGGTCATTCCCTGTCTTTAAATGGACGTCTTCTGGCAATAGCGAGAGGGGACAAAAAGAATTCCTGTATATCTGTCTACACTGTCGACACATCTGCCTTGCTAATGACTATCTGCTCTAAGGATCATAAAAACCTTACTGGCCATCTGTCGGTACGCCTCACCGAGACTAACGCTCTTGTCGTGGTATCTAAAGACTCCAAGGTCACTCAAGTGTTTCAGCTCAACACCACAACCTATTCGTACAGAGAAATATGCCATTTTAGTGTAGCTCCTGATGAGAGCCTAAGTGGTTATCTGGACGTCAACACCCGTAATAAAGGTTACATCGTTGGTTTGGGTATGCTGACTTTAGGAGGACGCGATGGTGTACGGCTTATTGGTTTTCATGGAGTGTACTCAAAGTATAAAGATGGGAAATGTATTAATCTGGGAAGTGCCATCACGCGGGAGAGTGGCTTGAGAGTGGATGATGGAATTCCGCGCGCGTCTGTGTCCTTCATGGAGAACATAGTTTTGATTGGCACTCCCAATGTCCTAGCTTGGCCTGGGCAAGGGGAAGATTTCGGAACTGGACGAATCTATGCAACTACATATTGCCCTGTTGACTATGTTCGCGTCAGGGTTTCTCATATCAAAGGCTTAGGATCCGTGGGATGTGCACCTTGTGAAAAGGGGCAAAAGTCGTTTGGTGGCTTTGCAGAAATGTGTTCAGTATGCGAGAGGATGACGTGCTTACCAACACCAGGCGAAGATCCGTTTAGCTTCACGGCCAGTGTTTGTGATTCGGTTACCTGTCAGCCTTCGTTAACCGTTGACAACAAAACAAAAGGAGTCACTGTCCACTTAGCAAATGGATCGTTTTTTGTACCCGGTTCTGAAAACCTTTATACTATCCAACTACTTGAAACAACTCGAGCAGACCAATCAACAAGCTCTCTTTCGGAATCATTCATCATTGATCCTACTGCTCCCGAAGCTGGTGTCGTCTACGATGGAGTTGGCAGTGATCCAAATACGAACTGTTCCGAAAATTCAACCTTTGGTGAGGACAGTCAGTGTTCTACTAGAAGTTTTGAAGATACAGATATTGACTTTACAAACAACACGAGAGAGATTCACGCCAGATGGATTGAATTTATGGACAGTGAAAGTGACATTGTAGAGTATTTTTGGTGTGTGGGATCTCAACCAATGAAAGATGACATCAAGGTCTGTGAAAGTACGGGAATGAGACCAAACGGAAGTTACTACGGGCTAAACATGCAGCATGGAGACACTTATTACGTTACCGTTGTGGCCTGCAACGGAGCCCGCAGATGTTCAGCTAATTGCAGTGACGGCGTTACCATAGATACAACACCGCCTGTCATGAAATACGTCAGGGATGGAATAATGGGACCGGATATGGACTTTCAGGTTAAGTTATACTTTTCACATCTTTCTATTTCTTATAAAACAACACAGTTTTAACAAGTTTCTTTGTGCGTTTAAGTTTTGAAGTTTTAGATTCTCGATCATGTTCGAAACTTAAGAGGTTAAAGGAGTCAGGTGGTTAATAATATGCATTGAATAACATTTTTAGGAAACTCTATTAAGGGCGCGAAAAGGAAACAGGCGTCTACTACTATATTGCAACTGATCACTCCCGAAATCTAAAAGAAGGGTACTTTAAGAGTATAATGTTGATACGAAGAGCGGAAGGATCTAAAAAAATAGTTTTCTGTGCCGCTCACACAATTTAATGTTTTTTCTTCTGCAGGTCTTCGTTGATGTTATTTTTGCGTACTTCGCCGCCATTGATCCAGAGAGTGGCGTGACCTCATACGAAGTTGCCTGGGGCACGGCGGCTGGCTCGACTGATATAAAAGATTTCGAAGAAGTTACCAATACAACAATATGGCTAGCTAAGTTTAAAGACAACGCCCTTGAAAAAGGAAAGAAATACTTTGCAACAGTACGAGCTACAAATGGAGCTGGACTGCTATCAGACAAATTTTCCTCCAATGGAATTGTGGTCGGAAAATCAGAATACACCTTTGACAATAAGTCTTCTGCTTCGTTTTTCTTTGACACTGTTAATGTTAATGTGAACGGATCACGTGAAGATGGAGGAGTAGGACAGACATATGGGACATTGACTGTACCCGAGGGAGCGGTTCAAGGGGAAGTAAAACTGCGATCCTTTAGCCTGGATAACGAAGAACTTAAGAAGAACACGACTGAGGAGGGTCCTGTTAGCAATCCTAAAGACACTAAGCCAAAGGTATGTATCTCGATATTCTTACAGTTTATGGCACTCCAACTGCCCAACTGTTAATGGTCCAACTGATTAGATACCCCAGTCTCTAATCTACTATACTGATCTGATCTGACCACACTGGCTGACTTACTAGCAAATAAGGAGTAACAGTCTTTACCCATGACTGACAAGATATATGCCCTACAGTTCGTTTGTTCGTTTGATCCAGTTGATCAGTCGTTAGCTACTAACCCGACTGACTGACTAAATCTCTTACAAATTGGTCCTCAGGTTGATCTAGCTGACCAACTGTTGGCCAGTTTCCTGCTTAAGAGCTTTTGGGTGACAGGGCATTGTCTTTAAATTTCTCTCTCCTTTTCCATCCATCCTCTCCTTCTCTGGCGAATCAATCTAAGGAGCATTCTATTCTTTTTGTTATTTTAGTTACCCAAGTAAATTATCAGCCGCTTATTCGCCGATTACATTCTTGAGGACATAATGAAGTACCTGAGTATTATGAATATTTGAGGCAGTAGCTATAGTGTCGGACTATAAATACCTTAAGGCTTTTAAGTGACATTTGTAACTGTACTGTTGTAATCATATCCAAAGCACAGCATATACCTATAATTTTTAATCTCTATTCTGGCGAAAATCTTTTACTACCGAACACATTGCCTACGGATCTATCTGGATGAGAATACCCTAAAAGGATGCATCACAAGCTTTTGGTTGTGGGAATTCTTAAGGGGCTCGCTGGGGTTGACAACTAAAGAACCTTTTTCTGGTCTTTTCATTTGGCAGCAATTCATGCTTGGCAATTACAGTTTTGTCATAAAAGCGTTGGACCCGATCAATAACACCGTCCAAGAAGGCTATAAGTTCGTAAAGCCAATTAAAATTTCCATGTTCTATGACGTCAATAAACTGGTCAAAGCCAACAAAAAGCACGTTAACAATGAAGTCACCAAGGAAGATGTCGACCCAGTGTTGTATCTATGGGATTCAAGAAACGAAACCTGGTAGGTTTTCATGTTTTTAGGCGTCTCTTGTTAGGTGTTTTAAGTACTACTCATTACATCATCCAAGCATATCCGCACATTTTGTCAAAGGCTAGCCTGCGTGCAGACGATAACTAAACTCTGATTAGTACCGTCTGCGAAGCAGCGCAGAGATCTTTGTTCTGGACCCCCAACGGACTCAACGGATTACCGGAAGTGCGTTTCGAATTCCCCTTCAACCTGATTGGCGATCACGACAAACAAAACAAAGGCCTTTTTAACTGGCCAATCGTGGCGCGTACTCAAATCTGGGTACACAGCTGGAAGTCCAGAACAAGGATTTCGACGCTGTTTCGCAGACGGAGTTAACCAGAGTTTAATTTCGTCTGCGCGCAGGCTAGCCAAAGGCTTGATGAAGAAAAGATCACACAGCTTTCGGCCTAGTTACGCTAGCGTGTTACGCTTTGCTCGTGTTTTAATTCAGTAAATTGTAATCAACATTCTAATATTGAATTCCAGACACCTTAGGGAATTAATGAATGCAGTTTAAATTCTCCCTAAACTTCCTGTGATTTAAAAATATTGAGAAGGAAGCTACATGTGCCCAGAAAAGACTGGGCGCTTGTCCCTGGAGAATACGCCTTTAGGCACACTAAAAACGAGTTCCCTGAAGACCTAGAGATAGATAAGTTGCTTAATAGTTGAAAGATGGAGTTCGGATTGTTAAGGAGCATAGATCCTTGTAATCTCCAATGTTTGCGCCATGAGAAATATTTGTCCATAACAGGCTTGACGCGTCCCTCACGTGTCCAAAGCCATGGAGTCACGTGAACAAGACAATCAAGCTACTAACAGTAGATGTGTGTCACTTAACTCAGTTCGCGTTTTTCTGGTCATTTACGGCACAGCATGGAATGGTTCTGTTTGACAAGAACAGCTCAAGTAAGTACAGTATGTTTGACCCATAAAGGCATGACTATAAAAGTAGTTACTAGACAAGAGTGCTGTAGTTCCTTGCATTCATTGACTGTCAGTAGGCTGCTTCCTGTCCACTCCACAGTCTAGTAGCATGACCCGGTATACAGGTCTACTGAAAGCTGCATTTTCTTTCTGTGTTGGCATAGCACAATGAACCACGCAATTCACGACAACTGTTCACTGGTCTTCACTTGGAATTGTTTCTAACCAACAGCATTAATGTATAAAGGCAACGCTTTTGCAATATGTGCTGTGTACGGACGATTAATTAACAATAATTTCCTTCATCCACTTGGCAGTTGAAAATGTTAAAGGTTAAAGGTTTTTTTATAGTTGGAAAGTGCACTTAGCTTATACAGCTAGTTTACAGGCACTGCACTCAAACAATTCCAGAAACAAATGATTCAAATAGAACGTAACAGGATTAAAAACCCGAACTGCATGGTAGGAGGCAGCCAGTTGGCTATTTATAAGCGTGGCCGAGGATCTGAGCTAGGGACGACCGAGGGCAAATCCAGCAAGTGGTCAGAGCCGGACTCGAATTAAAACCTGGGACCGCCGGATTGCGAGTCCGATACGGAGACCACTCGGCCACGCTGCCTCCTTAGTAAGTGAAAAACGTTAATTTTGGTCGTTAAACGCTCTCTTAGACGTTGTGGCCCACTTTTTCATGGCCGCGCCCTGAGAAGCGAACAAACAAACATAACCTCACTCACTTGTTTTTCAGTTTACAACAAAGAGGGCGTGGTGGCAGTTTCTCGTGCTAAACAAGTGACCAAACTTGAAATTCCAGTACGCAGAGCGAAAGGATCACAAGGCAATATAACAGTGCAGTGGTCGTTACATCAGAATGACTCAACACTTGATAGAGAGCTTGTTTGGCCGACTTCTGGGATGATAGCGCTGGACGATGGTAAATGGAACGAATCTTTCACTATCAACGTTGCCGACGACAAGAAAAAGGCACCAGAGAGTGTAATGTGGGTCCAGCTTGATAAAACCTCTGGTGGAGCCTTGTTAGCATCACGTGATCAAACAAGGGCAAAGATTGTGATCAAAGGGAACAAAGAACCGAGTGGGACCTGGAAGTGGATTGTCATTGGCAGTGCTTGTGCTGCCTTTCTGCTGTTTTTGATTATTTTGTTCGCGTGGTGGAAGTGGAGGAAACACCACAACGCACTTAGGTACAGCAATATAAATGTTTTATTGATGTTCATTAGGTTCAAAAACAGCCTTTCCAACGCGTTCAGTCAAAGTAACAAACAATTCGAAATGAAAAGCAAAGTTTTTTAAAGAAGTGCTTTTCCTCTCTTTTCACTTGCCAGTTGCATTTGGTGTACTGACGATTAGGAGAAAATAAATATCTATCCAGCAGTGGATCTCTGCGGCTACATTTCGTATTATGTTGACTGCTACACCGGTAATTCTAACAACAGCGATCATATTTACTACCTTTCACAGGGTGGGTGAAAGAACTCCCGAGGTCGAGTTTCCTTACTGCAATTCCATGAGCACCAAAAGGGAGACCGTACAGCCGCTCTCAAGAGACCTCGACCAGGGCGCAGACTCGGGCTCAGCAGATTCTCTAATGTAAGTAATTAATACCCAGTTGAGCCTCGTCTTTCTTTTTATTAGAGGCGCAAGGGAAGTTTTCTTTTGATGGACGCGATTTTTCAAATGAAAAAAAAAAAACTACAAACAGTTAAGAGCTTGTGCCGCCATTCAGCATCATGTCCATGCCCAGTGACCTTAAAAACAGCTGACTTTTTTGTTGTTGTCATTTTTGTCGTTGTTCTCTAATTCGGTTTTGCAACAATACGCCGAATCCTTGGGTTGACATAGGTCATATATCGCAGCACATTTTAATGAAAATTCCCTCTATAGTGAATAACTTACTTACACTAGCTTGAATGGACATAACATTTGCTGACAATTATTACAAGATATATACTAAACGAAAATCCTAACATTGGTAACAACGATTTAGCTATTCAACTTTTGCTCGGAAATTTACTCGGAAGGTCATCAATCTTTTATCACGTAGACCAAAGTTTGGTATAACTTCATAATGTAAGAGCGTTGTAGAACAATAGCAAGTATGGTGCATTTTTTAAATTCATTCAATTCTTTTGTGGTTTTACTTAGGGCCATGTCCTCACACTCTACTCCTGATATTCATAATCATGGGCGTGGTGATGAAACATTAATACACGAAGGCAATGATAACGGGGACCGACCTGTCCCAACAAAAAGAAAGAGTACCAAGCGAAAGATACCAGGTTGGTAAACGCGGTTGTTAGAAGTAAACTCAAAGTCTTAGACAAAGCGTATTTGATTCCCCTCATCGTTACAAATCTCTATGAAATAAGGCCTGCATGAGGCTTAACTGTATAAACTTCACTCCTTTGTTTGTTTTTCTTGTTGTTGTTGTTGTTGTTTGTTTGGGTTTTTTTCTTCATTGCCTCGGTGTGTTATCGAATCAATGGAAACCACGGCTCCATAAAAATCAATCATGCAATCGACTTCCCCTAAAGGCAGCACTATATATATTTTTAACCAATGTAATCGCTTTAATGGGCCAGGGTGAAAGCAATTTGTTTTAAGTAATGTGTGTTATACTGCCAGGTCTGTCGCGGATGAGATCAAGAGATCGATATCGGCTGGGCCCTGTTTTACCAGGGACGACGCCAGCGAGCAGTGATGATGAGATGGAAACTTCTTTTACAACCGTCAAAGAAATGCCGAAGGGCCTGGTGAACCCTTTGTACGAAGCACCTTTTATTATCCCATCTGCCACCAGTTCCGATGGTGAAGAGTACCCAGCAATGGTAGATGACTTAGATGGGAGGGAAAGGGGAAGACTTCGTGCAACAAAGAAAAAACGGTGAGGAAATAGTTTCAGCGCACTTACAACTAAGGGACTATGCAATAATTACCTGGAGGGGGAGTGGGTTGGAAAATTAGAAGTGGGCATAGGAGAAAATAACAACAAGAGAGAGGGAGGCTGGATGCAAAATTTAATACATACAGGGGAGGCATTACTTTTTCTTTCGTTTTTGCAAACTGGAAAAGTAGTGGAAGAGTTATTAGAGTTCAAATATAAATACTAACTTTGGAATAAAACTGATAAATTTAGCAACTCTAAGGTGTTCTGATCTATGAACTGTTGTTTTCCTATCTGTCATGCAGTAGGAAAGGAATGCCTCTGTTATATATGTTAAAACAGTGCTACTTTATTTGCACTAGGATTTAATAAAACAGGAAACTTTAATTAAAAGTTGCAAAAGTAGCACTATAATGTTATTCAAAAAAAAAGCTCAATCAGACAGGAATTCCTGAGCTGTCATCCACACTCGCGGGACCCTTAGTGCCAGAGATGCTGTAGAAGATGATGCGAAGACGACACAAGCTCAGAGTCCAGTGATTCTGATGACTCTTCAAATGACTCTTCGACATACGTCGAAGTGTCATTTGAAGTGATGTTTGTACCAGATGGGAGGAGACTCTTTTTTAAGGCGGAGGGAGGGGGTTAGCCTTAATATTATCATTATGTGAGGGGGGAGGGGGTTGAAATTAGTTTTTGCTTAATGAGAGGGGGGGTATGACTTAGTTTTGGGGCGTATTTCACCCATTTCCCAACCCCCCCTCCAGGTAATTATTGCACAGTCCCTAATGTATGTAGTCCAATGGCTGGAGTACGTTATTTGGTGGAAATACGACCTACGATTTACATTATTTCTCTTAGCCCAGGACCAGGCTCCGCATTGGGAGAAAAAAAGAAGCAAAACATCGGTGAATGAAGCGAGCCGGCCGGTAGTATGGGGAGGAAAAGTGTGGCCCTTTCCTCCTTTCCAGACAACCGCTCGGCTCACTTCGCTCGCCGATATTCATATTTTTCCTATTTCACCCCGTTTTTTTGGCCTTTTTCCACTACTGCGGAGCCTTATCAATCATGTCTCCTTTAAGTTAATTTTTTAGTCCGCACTTTTTTAGTTACGGTCCCATGGATCCTCGAGAGTGGGCCTTAACTCCTACTTTACCCAACCCCTTCCAAATAGAATAGTCCCGAGAGTTCAGCAACCAAATGTCCAGACTCAAACCGCTTTAAACTTTGCGGCCTAGGAGAGGTGTGTGTGGGGGAGGATTTCCTTCGAAGTGTCCTCTTTATTTTGTCCGAGGTTGCGACTCTGGTTACCTTCACAAGTGTACCCCATCCAAACCAAACTCCCGGACTTTCGAAGACAAATGTCCAACAACGAACCTTTTTCAACTTTAAGGGGAATAGGGGAAAGGTCCTGTAAAGTTTTCCAGCTTTATTCCTGGGATTGAAGTTATTCTCTTTTTATTAGAGGTGTTGACGATCAAGGTAATCCCGATGAGGCAAGAATGGAGGATTATAAGCCGGTTTTGCCTTCATCAAAGCCGGTAGTCCCTCTGGTAGATGATGCTGATGATACCAGCCAAGAAATCTCACGGGAGGAGGAGTGACAGCTATTTTTTCTTTAACTGCTTAGGTTCGCATAATTTGCAAGTAGAGTAGTTTCCGCGTAAGAACACGTAGTTTATGATAAAGAAAGTCAGTTCAATTGGCACAGAGCACATCTGTTGTACGACGGCCTAGAGTTAGCGTTGCCCTGAGGTCCCAGATATTTTAATTAATCGTTCTTTCTCATGAACTTGAAGCCCTGGGGCCTGGGGACTAGTTCAACGAACTTGAAGCGTGCTATGTCGCTGCGACTGTCGCTGCATGCTTCGAGCATCAATTTCGTTCAAATAGATAGAAGGAAAACCTCTCACAATTAGGTTGACGTTCTCATAGACTGTTTTTAGACTGTCGCTTTGAGTTAACGTACATTTAACTGGTTCTTTAACCTCCATTTACATATTCTTAAAACAATGACAATTCTCGTTAGTAGTTTAAAACCCCGGCGTAGGGAAGTTGTAGCCGGTGTATCCGACTCTGAATGTGTGTATTTTCTTGCTTTTACTTAGTTTGCACTTCAGCGTTTAATATGCTAATAAAGGCTGGTAACTCGAATTTTCCGTGCGTAATTTCTTTCGCTTTTGATAGAAAGAATATCTAAGGGATCTAACTCACTTGCTCTTCTCTATTAGCCTGTGCACAGACGCCCCCTTCCCCTCAGAAAAAATCGGCTTTTTTCGATTCGATTTCTAGTCAGACATGTCATCCGTCATCCGTCCCAACGGGGCGGCGAAAGAGACGACGTCTCTGCCGGTTGCGGGGTGAGGCGAAGAGACGGATGACATTTCAGACTATTCGATCTATGACCGTCCACGAATGGTTTGTTTTCCCGACAATTGAACACCATTCCGTTTGAGAATGACAGTGAACTAACTTACGGTATTATTTTGACAAACTTTGGCATTGCATTTGCGTTTGCGTTGCCTCGTTTCACACAATTGAAGTGCAAACACAAGCGTAAATGCAAGCAGAAGGAAATGACATTTTTTCTATTTCTTGCGTCGGCGCTTGGTTGACCGCTTGGTTTTTTATTTCCATTTCACACGCAACCTAAGAAGACCCTGGGGACAACCGTTGAGTTGCGTTACGGCTGTTGCGTTGTAAGGGAGACCCGTTTTTGAGGGACGTCAACCGGAAGTTGTTTAACATGCCTTGATGATATAAAATTTGTATTCCTTAGCTTCTTTACTGTTATAGAGGCGATTTGACTGAAAATTTGGGCGAAACCACCGTCAAAAAATGAAAAAAGGGCACTTCCGGTTGACGTGCGTCACTCAAAAACGCTGTTGCTTAAGCTCCCTATTGTGTTTGCATTTACGCAGGGTCCAGGCTCCACACAGAAAACAAAGACCCCAGAGATTCATGGGACACTTTCAACGCTGTATTTTTGTTCTGTATTTTGTACCAGCTTTCACGAAATATCGGAGGAATAAGAAGTTTTTTCAAAAGAGTTTCTCGTAGAGGAATTTCTTAAGGAACTTTTCTTCCTATTTTCGTTTTGCCGTTGCAAAAATGTGTTTGCACAGTCTTGGTGATAGCCTTTATCCATTCGCAAGGAAAGGACCCAATACACAACGAAAGTATTCTGCTACATATCAGTACA